ACGTACTGTGTGACACAGTCTGAATCTCCGTGGTCGAGCGGACAGGCTCGTCTGGTGCGACGACCCTTTGAGTCAATGAGCGTGAGAGGCGAAGATGGTGTTGATCAAGGTCGATTTTCCTAGACCAGTCTGTCCTGTATGTATGAGACAAGAACATCTACGTTAGACCCGGATCGATCTCAGGAAAACAGGGGTGAAACGGTAGTTATATAGAACAGCGATATGAGATCTAACATACCAACGCAGATGACGTTGAACTGAAAGCCACGCTTCAGCAGCTTCTTCTCGATCTGCGAGGTGATGCTGTCGAAACCGACATGGCTTCTGGGGAAGACTGTGTCGGTGGGAGAGGCAGCGGCGGCCATCGTTGCTGTTAATTATTATGGGTTGAAACGGTCTCGAAGTAATCTGGCGACGGAGAGGAAGGGTACGTTGAGCGATTGGCAAGACTCGTAGCTCTGCAGCAGCTGTCAGAGAGGGTGGTTGCGAGGTCGAGAGAGAAGCAGACGCAGGAGAGGAAGAAGAACTTCGAACTTGTGCAGCCCCCTTTCTTAGGTCGCTGTGCCGGAGCCAGGAGGAGATGATCGTTTGCGCGCGAAGCTAAGAAGCGAACTTTGGTCTTGCTGGTTTTTTTTTTTTTCTGTACCGGGACGTCAGGGGCAAGTTGGGCGCTAGGCCGGTTGCGGGCTAGCGCGGTGGCTTAGGCCAATCAGCGGCTGTCGTGCTTTTCGTGACTCTTTTTTTCTTCGATGGTGATGCTGCGATGTCGACGTTGGAATGCAAGTTGAAGGCGAAGTCGAAGCCGAAGCTGACGTTTGGTAGAGAGAAGACCGATACTCACAGCTGCCACGCAGGATGGCCGCTCTCCGACTCGCTGGCCCCTCCGCGGGACTCCTCTCCCCGACCGCCTTGACTCGAACGCTCGGTATATACACAACCGCCAGCAGTTCGATAACTGGCTCTCTCGCTGCGAAATACCATGCATCCCGATACGCAGTCGCTGCCGTGCTGCCGTCCCTGCTGTCAGATATCTGGGAGTCGATCCTCCGCGCCGTGCCCAAGAAGAAGACCTCGCACATGAAGAAACGACACAGACAGATGGCTGGAAAGGCCTTGAAGGATAACATCAGCCTCAACACATGTCCGGCGTGCGGGAATACCAAACGAGCTCATTTGCTCTGTCCTCATTGCGTTGCCCGTACGTCTCTGCAGTTGCACTCCTGATAATTGCTATTCTAGCGCTAGTTCAGTGCTAATTGAGTTGAACAGAGGTCAAGAGACAGTGGAACTCTCAGAGTGCTACTCCCAACATATAAAACCCATTTTCTTTTTAAACCGGCTGATTTACGTGATTACTGTTATTTCTTATCACAACCATTGGGTGCACCGTTCGGGGCAAGGCAAGGCTTTACTACAAGAAAAAGCGGGCGTTTTGGTTATCCTTTACCATATACTTTCCTTTCTGCAGCTACACTCTGGTCTTTTGCGTCTTTACCTGATGGAAGGGAAACCAGCTTTCTTACCTGGTATTTTACAGAGATTTTATGACAAGGAGCTTAAAGTGCCGTGTAGTATATTCAAATCCATGTAACTTATGTATTTGTAGTGTGAGGTGGTGATATGTAGCAGCCCTCTCAAATGTGGAGCTATTTCGGAGCGTTCAAGAAATTCTATTACTTATTTTGCATTTAGGATAGATACAGGTTCAGGGTTTATGGACTACTTATCAATGCTTCGTGCTCCCAACATTACCCACAGCAAACACTTTCCATACAAGATAGACAGCCTGAGAAGCTACATTAAGAAATACCCTCAAATAACTTAACAGACAAGATGGCAAGTGGGACGGGTTTGATGTTTCTACCTACATCTACCTGATGCTAACTGTCTGCATAAAACAGTCCAAGCAAATACTAAGTCTGCACACAATAGAGAATGGTGCGTACTCGCTATGGTACTTACGAAGGAGAGTCTGCATTTTCTAACATGGAATAGCGCACATATCTGAAATATTTTCTCTCGCTGTGACCCCTACCCAGATCTTATCAGCCTCGGGCGCCTCCTCGCTCAAGGCCCATTTGGCCAACGAAGAAGGATTTGGCATAGCCCAATCTCTCTCAGCAGCCCACAAGATTGGTTGTCATCATCTCACCACGGCAAAAGGGTCTGGCTGTTATGCGGCCAGTGTTGGCTTTGGAGGAGAGGTAAAGCTATGGCGTTTCGAGGATGGGATGTGGAATGAAGACCTCAAAGGTAGGCAATACTTTCATAGAAATAACCACGTACAATCAGGCTAATTTCATACAGATAATGGCAAGGTAAAAGATATATGGGCCATTTCTCTGTCCTCAGATGCGAGGTACCTTGCCGGCACCACCCATGATGGCCGTATCAAGGTCTGGGACCTTCAAAATAACATAGAGGAGGTATGGAATTTTGAGACGAGAGGGAGCTTTGGCATGTGTGTTGATTTGGTAATATAATCCCGCTCCTCCCTCCAATTCATACTTTGCTTATATCCCTGGAAAAGTCACCGGATGGGCGTTTGATCGCGTCAGGCCATCAAAGCGGGAGCGTTTACGTTTTTGACCTCGCAGAAGGAAGGATGCCGTTCTCGTTATCAGGTAATTTTCCTACGCCTTGCCTGCAGAGATCAACACAAACTGATGAGCCTAGGTCTTGCCGCACCCGTTAGAGCGGTATCGTTTTCTCCCGGAGGAAAGTTACTGGCTGCTGCTGGGGACTCTACAATGATTATGATTTATGAAACAAGCTCTGGGGAGCAGTTTGCAACACTGATCGGCCATGCCGCGTGGGTTACCTCCTTAGACTGGAACGACTCTGGCGAATACCTCCTAAGCGGGTGAGTAGTATTGGTAATAATATAGCATCAGATTTATTGACACTTCGACTAGTTCGTTTGACGGCAAAGTTAAAGTGTGGTCAATTGAGCGGAAGGCCTGTGTTGCGACGCTCTCGGAATCTGACAAGGCTATATGGAGCGTTAAATGGCTGCCGAAGGTGGGAAAGGCAGAACGGTTCGCGGCAGCAGGTGCCAGCCAGAGCATTGCATTATACCGAGAAGCTAACAGTAGCTAAGCAATTGTTCGATTTATGGTATGACGCCACTGTCTTCTGTGATGTCCATAACCATGCATTGTTTCGAAGGAAGACTGTAGTATCCTTATGCAAATTATACAGATAGCAAGATGGCAGAATCGTATATATTTTTATCGTTATCTCACTAGATAGGCATGACTCATTAACATGCTTTTTAATTCAAAGCTGCAACAAAAAGTCTCCGCATTCTCTTGAGGAAAGCACCAAAGTCTCTGTCATCATTCACGATTTTAACAACTTCGGTAATAGCGGATTTATCGAGCTTAGGCCGACAGTGAAGAACCTCATATTCATGGCCTGCGGTTCCAAGTTCAAACCAAGCTTCTCTCTCCCAGTCCTTTTCTAAAAGGTGTGTATAGATGATCTTCAGCCGGTCTTCTCTTCCAGCCCCTTCGATCCGCAAACACAGCAGGTCTTGCCAAAATTCTAGCTCTGGTACGTTCTGGCGGGATTGTAGTTCCAGTTGCTTGGCATGCGCCCTTTGTGCTTCTAGTCTTTGATTTATGCTTCGTTGTGTTTCGTTTATTTGCTGCTGGAGCCTGTCACGAATAGCTGACCGAGAATCGCGCTGTTGGCTGATTTGAGATATAGCTGCATGCATCTCCGCAGCCTCCGCACTCTCCTTTTGAAGGGTTTGACGATGTGTCTGAAGCTTTAAATTGAGAATCTCGATATCCTTCTCTTTCATCCGCTGGTCCTCTGCGTATACAAAGCCGCAGTTAGAATAGCAATCCAAACCACCTAATATCAGTGTGGGTGCAAACCTTGAAGTTCCGCGAGATCAATATAAAACTGGTTCCTTTCTTCCAACACTTGTTTTCTTCCTCTTTCGATGAAGGAGTCGAATTTTTGGGAAAACTGTGACATCCTCGAACGAAGCTCCTCGAATCGGAAATTCAGGCTTGGGAGTTGATCAGCCATTGACGGCGCGTCGGCCGTTGTAAGTGGAGGTCGAGCAGTTGAGGAGTAGGGATCAAAAGCCGCCATCTTGAATAGTTGTTGAGCGCCTTTATTTGTATCCGACTTCGACTTCGCCGGGAGTAATCCGTTGAGTTCCTGGATGTTATCGCGTATGTTGAAGATATAAACACAAGGTTGAAGCCAAAAGTGGACTAGCGGATGAAATGGACCCCACAGGTCAATTAAGCTCTCGGAAATGGCTTTTCATAAGTCCGTGAAGATAAGGTTTTTAGGTAAGCAGCTTGGTAGGAACCTATCAGAAGGTCCTTTTCCTTCTCTCTGGTTAAGGTTCTTTCTTGGATTGAGACGGCCTCGACATCTTGAAGGCAACCTAACAGTATAATCAATGTGTTGTGCCTAAAGCCGCAAGGCCTTTTACATGGAATTGTTTAGATATGTCTTTATACTGCCTTACCATTGCACTGTATACATATACAGTAACTATACAACCAGATGGCTGATCATTTGAAAAATGAGGTGTCTCTCGGCCACCTGGGAAGAGCAACTTACGTCGAGGAGCTACGGGAATGGAGATTCTCGCGGGCGCCTAATCAAGGTACGGCTTGTAGGTAGAACCCCTCAGGCAGGGCCTGCCTGCTAACGTATATTACTAGGCTTTGTCTTCAAACTTGCGGGTGAAACAATTATAATCTCCCATGGCACAAATCCAGGCCTTTCTGGGGAGCCAAGAAATGCAAACGCCGTGACGAAGAGAACAGAGCAGCTGCTATTAAATTTATACCCAGAACTAACTCATGGGCTTTCAAATATGGTTCTAGAAGAGGCAACCTCACGAGCTATTATTTCTGCTTCCTCTCGTTTCGAGTCAAGTAGTCATGAGTGTCTAGCGTTTGGGGAGATTGAGCATATGGCGGACGACCGTATAGCATGTCAAACAATTCCAATAATGGTATTCTCAACAGGGGGTCAAAGTTCGTCCCTTGCTCTACGCCCATGCGACTTCAGCCGTAACACCCTATTCCCAATTGCCGCATCCAACATTGATGACGACCAGTCTGTTTGGTGGAACGTGCCCGGTGGCCCTGTGAAGCAGGTACTATCTTCAGAATCGATCCAAGAGCCAAACAAATGCTTTGCAGCCAGGCTCTCCTATTCCACTACAATATTTAGCCCGATTTACCACCGTAATCCGGTCCCGGTGAACTTAAACGATAATAGTTACGCGGAGTCATGTCTATTGTCACATATAGACCCAAATCCCCTTGTCAATATACCATGCGACCTGACAGGTGGCTATCCCCACGCTGCTGTAACTTTCAACCCTTGGTATCAGCGGCAAATCGCCGTGATTGACCGTGCAGGAAATTGGAGCGTTTGGGATTTGCAACGCAGACAGCAGCGAAAAGCTGGCTGGTATGCTGAACGTGGACCAAACGGCTCCATACGACTCCCTGAATTTGAGAAAAGTTCTAAGCCAATTGATCACTATGACGGTTGGGGTGCAATATTATGGGTCTGCACCATCCACCAGTTGTTAGTTTGTGATAGACGCAACGTTTATATCTGTCGTATGGATGTGCGTCCACCAGAACAGGAGGAGCTTAGTCTTGGCCTCGAGCTTCATTCCGAGTGGATTCTTGATGTCCTACGAAGCCCAAAAACACCTTCCCACGTATTTATCCTCACAACGCTGAGAATTATTTGGGTATATGTTCCGCTTCCTGACGACTCTTATCTTAGCCAAAGCGACAATTCTCGCACTGCATCTATTCTGCTTTCTTGGAGACATTTCCGAGACCCAGAAGATATAAGTCTCCGGTTAACCCCGATATCCGTGGAAACAGGTAAATATGCCTTAAAGCGTTCTGTGGACTTCATCACACTAATTTTGATTAGACCTTTTCATAATGCTACATTCCCGTCTGAATCTGCTTGCTACGACTGTCCAGGTACTTTCATCTGACGAGCCGTCCTACCCGGTGTCCATATGTGATACAAGGATTCTTCATCTGCCCAAGGTCAAAAGCGAACATGCAGCATGTGGAATGAAAACATCTCATAATACAGTAAACTTTTCTAGTATATCTTTCCAAGATAACAGGAATCCTGATTCATCTTTGGATGATGACAGCATCGACTCACCGAAATCAGTTGCATTTATAGGACAATTAATAGATGGAAGGCTAGTTGAATGCATATATCTAGCCACAGTACCGAATCAAGAGATATTACCGGACATTATTCCCATCTCAGTTGGCAGGAAGAAAAGGCCTGCTAAACACCACGCGAAGCTTGCTGATGAATCTGATTTTGTCGTACAGGACGGGGAAAAGTCGCTTTTGATACCCATGTGCCCACCGAACAAGCCAACGAAACATGGTTCAATGGCCGTTCTTCCGACATATGAAACGCGAGAACAATGGCAGCAGCAATATTCATTAGCTACGCCTATTCTCGAGCACATGAAAATCGCCAACTTTACCGAAAGCGAAAACACAACATGTTTCGGAGACTGGCTGAATGCTCTGAAAGGCCAGACTGCGGAGCTGATTCCAGCCCTAACATCCTGTTCAACTTCCCTTTTACTGTTAGTAGTACCCATTTCATCTCTTCCGATTTAACATACTTACAGTAATCTAGGTCAGAAGCCGTTCCGTCATCCTTTTCGGTAGATGAAGCAGAAAATATTGCAAAGGCATTTGACCAATTCATTCTAGGTTTTGCAGATTCTGCGGATCGTATGCTACCTGGGTTCCAATTACATATCTTGCTACTACCATTTACACCCACTTCTAAATTCTCAATGATCAAATCAAATACATGGAATGATTACTCTTTGATGGAATTTTACGACACCATGATTTGTTTCTGGTTGGCTCCTTTGCCAGACGGGATTCCAAACCGTCTCCGGGCGTTAAAAGAACAGGCTATTCGCGAAGTGATTTCTGAACTTTGCATTGCGAGTATTATGTTATCCCGTTTCGGAGCTGAAGAAGCGGATGACGGCCAGAAAGCTGGGCCAAGTTTGCTGGTCAAGCCTGAAGCTCACAGTGTTTCCAAGTTCAAAGAGCAACTAACACAATGGTCCGGGGGCGACGTTTCCTCACCTCCGCTTCGAACACGGGGCTTAAATGATAACCAGACCGGACCTCTGCTGGCTTTACTTGCGCGGTACACTAGCATCCATTGCCAGAGGCCAATCTCACAAAAGACCATCAACACGGCCGCACACTGGGTAAATGGAAGTGACCCCAGCAAGTATGACTGGCAAGCTACCGTCTCCTTACACGATAACTCACAATCTGAAAACGACAACAATTTTAAACGGCGTAAATGGAAAGAAAGGAGACAATCTTCATCCGCAGCGCAGTCACAACGAAGTGTTTCAGCCGACATCCCAATAACTAGGCCGTGGGGGAGCCAACCAGAAACTAATGCATTCAGTTCTGGTATAGGTAGCAGTCAAGTAAGTGAAGGCGGCTTTACGATGACACAAGGAGAGCAAGGCGTATTCGGAAGGAGGAAACCGCTCCTCAAATCCAAGAAAAAGAAACGTGTGGCAGGATTTTGAGTACAGGCCAACCTGTGTATACAGGAGAATGCAGCATCGCAACCTGGTAATATTTTAATATGAATTGAATATAGACTTTGTGCAAGGCGGGGAATTCAATTGATAGTAGGTGCAGTATGCATTTTGCCTTGAAAATTAGATATTAAATTCTTTCTACCTGGTTTCTTTATCGTTTTAACCATAAAGTTATATATTTGGAGAATGACTAGCTAACTAGCGGTGACCAAAGATATCAATGGTGTCAGGACTTTCATCCTCGTCCTCGTCCTCGTCATCCTCATCTTCTGTTTCCTGGTTGTCTGAGCTACCGTCACTCCCAGGATCGGTTTCAGCATCACTGCTCCCGATTAGCCCGAGTCTTTCCTTTATATTTACACCGCTCCAGAAATTAAAACCACTAAAGCTTCCTCTAGTTAGTCGCATGGGTCCCCTGGATTGGGATGTTGAGCTATCTACGTCTTCTTGACGGCTAAGTGCAAAGTAGTTCGTGACTACTGGCGACTTTGGAGCTGCTCTCGAACTATGAAGAAAAGATGTATGAGGAAGGCTACGGGCCTGTGATGCTCCACTATCAGTAGGTGCCTCGTCGAAATGATGGCCTGGCGTCTCGAAGACAGAATTCCTGGATCCGGTACGGTGATCGTTGGAAGTTCCATGTGTAGGAACGGCGAGGCCTTGACCACCACTAATGGAGTTCTGTCTACCTTCCGTAGGTTGTGCCGGATTGTAACTACCGTTCAACAACTGCCTTTGGATAGTGTTGTATGACTCACATCTACACTAGTCAGCAAATATATAATAAGCTAGGATAATGTCAGAGCATACATTTCACATTTCAGGCCCAGCCAATGGTATGGCACAACGCTCTTCGCATGGCAATCGTTGCAATATATAAAGGCATTTGTATCTTTAAGTTCAGGAGGCATTGGCTGGCTCATGATGGTCCGATCAAGGTTTCTGAAGTTAGCCTCCATGTTTGTAACACTCTTGCTACAAATGGGGCAGCGATATGAACTGCGAGAATGCTCAGAAAAGCATTTTTGATGTATGCTATGGCCACATCGCATGAAAATGACCGTATTGGGTGAGCTGAACATGAACTCTCCGCATATTGGACAATCGCATTTCGTTGAGCGTTCAATGCATCTGTGGGTTTTTTGAATCGCAATTGGTATACAGGCAGAGCAAGTCTATTAAAAATCAGCATGACTTAATATAAACCATGAGGGCTTGTAGATATTACCTGGCAGTGGAAAAAATCTTTTCCAAGTCCCTGACCAAGGCGACAGATTCCACAATCACCGCAATGGTATATGCTTTTTTCAGCATCATCATCCCAGAGTTTACATATAGAGCAATAATAAAAGGCTGATTGGGCGCCACAGGAATTGCACCATTGGCCTGCCGGCTGTGGAGAATAACATAGCATGCAAAGCATGTTTTCTGTTTTCTTTCGATCAAGGGTATGAGATTCGCTCTCATTATGACAGAACCGACAAGGGTACCATTTCTTACACGTAAAGCATTGGATCTTCACGTTCCTTTTGTAGTGCATGCAGCCTAGCTCGACTACTTCGTCGGATGCGGCTTCTTCAATATTGTCCATAAAGGGGTCATCTGCAGGTTGGTTATCATTAACAGACCTGCAAAAGTATGTTCGTTTCAAGTCTTCCTGCGATAGATAATACGGGCTTCCGGATATGCCACTGCCCAACTCTGAGCTAGACGAAAGATTGCCTAGCGCTCGTTGCTTTCTTGATGACTCTGGAGTACAAGGGGCATCGTGTCCTTGGGGTGTGGGTGGAGGAGAGCGGGACTTGACCGCGGAGTAATATCCTTCTGTCATGATTCCATGCATCAACCGGGCTTTTTCCTGGCTTGAAACATCTAATTTCCAGATAGCATGGATCCGCCTCCGCATTTCGACTATATTATCACTTTCTGCCGCATATTTTGTGGTATTTTCCTCCCATCCAAGTTGATCCAGATGAGCTTGTGAGGTGGTCTCGTTGCCATTACTCGCAGGCTGACCCTGGGAGTCGGAGCCCAAGTCCATCCTGTAAATGCAGCGATTCTAACACCGCATTTCCTTAACTCCACCTTGATTTCCACTGCTATCCATACGATTTCAACGTGGTCGAGAATGGTACAGCCCACGGCTATGGGTTGGTCTCAGGCTCCGGCGTAATCGGATTTGAATGGCGAGTATGTAATCCGTCGTGAATTCTAGTTGACTCACGCCCTTTATATTAGTTCATTCATTTAATTCATTATAATTCGATGGTAATCTGTGGCCTTACATTCACTATCACGCTGTTGAAGTCCTAGTGGCCTACAGGATGCTGCCCCCAGATAGTCTCAGCTGAGCCGACACCGACAGCGACAGCGTGTTGAAGAGTTTCTAGTTATAAGATCATATAAAAGAAGTAAGATAAGTCACTGGCTAAATATACGGCAGCTTATGAAGGGAACTGGCAAAAGCAACCCGGTGTTTATGGCTGTCTGGACGCTGAAGCTGTCTTTCTGTAGGACGATGATATGAACGATAAGAGAAGTTAAGGTTTGGGCGAAGGCACGAGCCAAAGGTGCACCTGAATCGAGAAGGATCATGTGATAAAGCTTATCGGGCGACCCGTAACTACAATACCAGTATATGTATTTTTGACGAAGCAGGGCAAGACAACGTTTCCAGGATATAGAGAAATGTCCAATAATTGGCTGCAGAGGCAGTGATATAAATTCGAATCAGTCCATTGTTATCGTATTATTATGATGTTCTCAGCATTGTGTAACCACAGGGCGCTGCAGTATTGGCGGTCGAGTCGCGATACTTGCGAGTGCGGGTACTTAGGATCCTCAAGTTTGGAGCCTTCACTACCTAGCTGATATATTTCCCGAGGACAAAGCTGGAGGGCAAACGGAACTGTGGCTACCTCACTTGAGACAAAGGTTCATGCTTTCGTTTAACAAGTGCAAGGTTCTGTTAAACTGTCTCGCACCAATCGACTGGGGTCTAGGTATTCTTCCGATAATCCTATATGGCATCCATTAGTACGAAGTTGCAGATAGGATCAAAATGAATTTTATATAGCTCTAGATAGCCTTACATTGGGGAATTGCAAGCTATATGTGGTTGCTGCCAATACCGGACCATCGTTAGCGTCTTTAGGATCTTGCGCTCAAGGCTTCCAGGCTGAGACGCGTTTTCGAGAAAGTGAAGCGTATTAATAATTCTGCGCGGATCGAAGTCTACATCAGCCCCTTTTCTAAAGGCAGATCGTAGGACCCAACGGATAACGTAGCGTGAAGGGCTGGAGTATTGGACAGTTTTTAACGCGGTGCGGTAGAGGTGCCGGAAGGCCATAGTAACGCCATGTTTGTAGGTTACCGACTCAAGGGCCTGAACTGTCAAAGTCATCTGCCCTTATGAGTGGAGACCACAAATATTATTTTCCGGATAGGAGGGTTTAATCTGGGACGAAAAGGTATTTGAAAATGTTGCTTTGGAACTCTGAAGATATTAAACCATGGAGTTGAGCTTGATTACGTAATGACGAGTTAACTCGTTCACAAAGCTAAATGGCCTAAGGATACAAATTTTGGGGAGACATGTTCTAAGAAATGCAATAAAAGAATGAATCAGAATGAATATGTACGCTAAAAGATCACGACAGCTGGATAGTAAATCTACTAGCTAGGCCGTACGTTACGTTTCAAAGGGGAGAATGGCGGGATCTCCAACGGTTTATTCAGGCCAAGTCGCCGGTTACGACGATCATTCTCAACGCGTTTCCCATCTGGATCAGCAAAAATACCACTCTGGTCCTGTACATGCGAATGCTGCTTGGATAGAGTACGTAGGGGCCCAAAGTTCTCGTCAAGGGGTAGTTTGTCTCCCAATAGTCCTAAGTATTCGTCGCTTTTTGACGGGATCCGGAAGACCATCGTCTTCGGACAAGTCTTTTCGTATCCTTTTGCTTCTGGAGACGATTGCTAACCCGCGGTGCTGGGCCATTTGTGAATTTCGGAATATTGGTCGATTTCGGGGGATTCTTTAGCGGCTGGGCATTTGATTTGCGTTTATTCGTGGTGGAGGCCTCGTTTTCATATGCCGGTAGACTCCTTTCCTTAATCTTCGAAGGATTGGCCTCCGCGAATGAAAGACCATCACTATCACTTTCGCTGGATGTGAAGTTTACCGTGAAGTCATGACTTTGACGGTTCAGAAATGGGGTAATAGAAAATATTGATTTGTCTCCAGGAGCTGCGGATATTTTCGTTGGTAGCTTTGACATGTGGTTCGGTCCCGGTGTCCCTATAGATGCATCCGTACCAAAATATAGGCGGCATGAAGGGTTCTCTGATGCATCTACAGAGGTTTCGGTCTGCTTGCGGCGAGCAGGAGACATGTTGGAATGTTGAACCTTCACCGTAGTCTGTTTCTTCGACACCATTACACCCCGGGTATCTGATTTGGAGGTATGGGTTGAAGACTTGCGAGTTTGAGGCTCGCCGTTGACATTTACGTCGTGTTCTGGGCTCATGATCGTTCTATTCGATATATGGGAGACCCTCCCTTTTCCTGAGTTGCGCTTTGTATCGCGGAGTTCAACCTCAAGGGAGCTGACTTGGCGTTCTAAAGAGAGCTTTTCCGAGAGTATAGTCTGATAAGAGCTGTTCTGGGAACGAAGCCGAGTGATCTCTGGTTTCATACTAGAAACTTCTCGCACCAGAGATGCATTTTCAGCCCGTAGTTTACTCATTTCAGCTGCAAGTGACTGCATAGAAGACAATTCTGCCTACCATATATGTCAATATTTCAAGACGTTATTACCAGGTTCCATAGAGCGATAACTGACCTGCAGGCTATCTATCATCTTGATCTTGGCCTGGAAGGACTTATGTAGTTCTTCCATATCATGTTGCATACGGGCTGAATGCTCCCGTATCCGCGAGTTCTCTGTCTGTACATCTTTCAGTTGCTGTTTTGTCTGGTCTTGCTCTTTGCTCATGGCCTCTTTATCATGCTCAGAGAGCAGCAATTGCAGTCTAGGCAGCCGTGCATTTTCATCAGCCAGCAGCAAACTTGTATAATAAAGACTCTTCTCAAATTTTGCTTCAAGCTCGGCAAAGGGATGCTAAATCTCACATCAGAAGGTGTTCTTCAGCTCTGATTGTTTGTCCGAGGTTATAACTTACCACTTCCATGTTCTTAACCAAAATAGTGCCACAAAATTGTATAAATGTGTATACGTATGCATATAAGCCCAAAACAATATGCTTTTATCAATCTACTGTAACAAATGTAGATATGAAACTGACATCTCAGGCGTCGTTCCAGTGTTGCGTTGTCGCGGTCATGAAACTTTTATCAGCGAGTGGTCGTGTTGCTTACGTAAACTATGAACCTGCCAACTTCCAGCTTCAAAATGACACCTTTCTGTCATCTCAGAGCTCTGGTAAACAGAAACGACCGAATAACATCGAGAATGAGGTTGTTTTCGCTGATTCTTTGCGCAATATGGCCAATTACGCTTGCCCTGGGTGCTTCATCAAAGGGCGGAGATAAATATCCGAAATTCAGGGCTGCGTCAAGGTCTACTGGCGCAGTAACTCTGGACGATGCAAGCTATCATGAACTCACCGCGGCTCCTCGAGATTACCATACTGTTGTGCTCTTGACGGCCCTGGACTCGCGATTCGGATGTGATGTCTGCAAGATGTTCCAGCCTGAGTGGGAACTCCTCAGTCGGACGTGGAGCAAGGCTAAACTTGGAGACTCAAAGTTGGTCTTTGGTACGCTCGACTTCCTCGATGGGAAAGGCACATTCCAGCAGGTAATTGAACGGCAAAAGAAACGTCACTATTGGCGTTATATTGCAGTACTAACTGCTATCAGCTCAAACTTCAAACTGCACCGATCGTGATTCTGCTGCCGCCTTCCTCTGGCCCAGGCTCCGGGAACAAGCCGGCTCGATATGACTTTAGCAGGTGAGTGTGAATTCAAAGGAAGTGAAGGAATAAACAGTGAACTAAATGATGTTTTTCCAGTCCTGTCACTGCGGAGCAGATGCACCTATGGATTAGCCGTCACCTCGCTGGAGTCCCAACACCAAAGCTTGTTCGACCGATAAACTACACCCGAATGATGGGGATGCTGATAGGGATGTTAGCGGTCATATCCCTTATCACTGTATCTTCCAAATATGTTGTGCCAATTTTGCGAAGTCGCAACCTATGGACAGCCTTGAGCCTCCTTGCGATTTTGCTCTTTACTACTGGCCACATGTTCAATCATATCCGCAAGGTACCGTACGTTGCTGGTGATGGTAAGGGGGGAATCAGCTACTTTGCTGGAGGATTCCAGACCCAATTCGGCCTGGAAAGTCAGATTATAGCTGCTATCTGTGAGTTCTCCACCTTATTTAATGTACCTGGTGTACTTCTCCTAATAAACCTCTCTAGATGGTGTTTTATCCCTTGGCTCCATAGCTCTCGCTATGAAAGCACCGAGAATACTGGACCCTCAGTCGCAGCGAGTCACTGTAATTCTCTGGAGTGCTGTGACCTGGGTCATGTACAGCTTCCTTATTAGCCTTTTCCGTGTAAAGAACGGTTCGTACCCACTCTCAATTCCTCCATTTTAAATATTTATAGAATATCTTTCGAGACGGCCACAAGCATGGCACCCTACTCACACCAGCATCTAAAATGTTTCCCTGCCTTTCTATCAATAAGAAATATATGATTGAAATTCTTATTCTTGTGATTTATCATTTCAATAACTACCGATTGCCATTGTTCAATACTTGTACTGGTGTCAGAAAAACTAAAAGTCATGATCTTGAAACGTATGTTGTTTATTGGATTTGCCAGGGCCACAGGCCGCTCAGAGGCTTTCAACTAAAGGATGCAGACGATAGATTAGGATATATGGAGTAATAGGTAATGACAGCCGGGAAAAATATCGTCCGACCGGCATCAACAGGAAGGCCATGATCATGCCATAACATGTCATGCCACATTATGAACGCGGGTGATGTCTTACGTGTCAACTCAAAGATCCGCCATTAAGCAGAGGAGTGTGGAGGGAGACAGAAGGAGATGATGGGGAAGAGAAGCGGCACTCTGTCTATGACGACTTTCGAGCCTCTCCGCTGGAGCTGGAATCGGTGCGAGCAAGGTTAGCACCATTCATCTGACCATCCTCCTCCTGTGTTTCTTCTTCAAAGACGGGTTCGGGCTCGTGAGTCTCGAACTTGGTCTTGAAGTCAGCGAGGCCATGGGTGCTGCTGTTGGACCGACGGCGAGAGTTGGTGAATTTGTATCCGTAGTCATGTACTTCGTCTCCGGAGCGGCCCCTAGATACGGAAAGGGAGACAAATAAGTATCAATCGTATGATGTTGCGTGTCCTGAAGCCCCATCTTCAATCTGGGCTGACTTTGAGTTTTAAGGGGTGAGGGGGTGACGAAGCCGGAGGGAGAAGAGGAAGAAGACAGCTTACCAGTTGCCTTTGCCGCCACCGTCCTTCTTTGTCTTCTTGGGGTCGGCGTCGATGTGTCCTGACTTTGCGAAGTAGCGAGGGAGATGCTCCTGGAAACTGGCTGAGTCGTCGTGGGCGGCAGAGTGGTCCCTGTCGTTCATCTTGTGGGAGCGAGTCACTAGACGTGCGGGTTAGCTACCTCAGGATCAATGGCCACCACGATGCTACCTACTGATGAATTGCTGTCTGTGGTCCTGGCAGTGATGGGGACAGTAGTGAGAGTAGCTGTGGTAGTGGCTGTTGCAGAGGCTGTCGTAGCGAGGGAATTGGTAGGTACTGGTGGGAGGAGAGGGAGAAGAGGAGATGATGTCAACCTAGTTCCTCCTGCTGCCGAGTGTCTCTGCTGCCTCCCTTTTATACTTCCGCTGCGTCGCCCAAATAAGGCTCGTGACCGCCTGCCGGATTAGCTAACAGCACGTACCCACTTTTACCCCAGATTTGGTGGCGTCATATTTGGATTATATAATCACAGGGAAACCGATGGAAGCTAAGGTCGCAACAGGGCGGAAAAAGGGGGTTCAAATTAACAGTTTGGGTTGCATGGTGACATAAAGGTAGGTAGATACATCAAAGCGACACGCTGGTAGAAGTACATGGTAAGAGAAAGGAGAGGAAGAAAGAAAGGGGTGACGGTAGAGAGAAAAAGAGAAGGCTAAGAGGTTTGTTCTATCTCTGGGACGCCATGCTCTATGATCCATGAGAACCAATGCTCGAGGTTTCCCTTCTCTATGTAATGCTTCAGCAGACTGTTCTCGTCGTCAAGCTCTGTCGATAGGTGGCCGCGTTGCTCGGGGAGCAGCCGGGCGACCAGCTTATGTGGAACATCCACTCTGTCAAGAATGTCGGTGGGTCGGTGAAGGTGGTTCGACTCACCGTCGAAGCCAAGCCCTGTGACGAAGAATCATATGTTAGCTGGCGGATGCATTTGTTTTGCAAAAATATAAGGAGACACTCACCGTTTGTGTAGTCCACTATCGTCTTGAAGAGCGCAGTAGAGCGGATATCGGCCTCAACCTCATCATCTGTCTTGCCTGCCGTGGCGCTGATGCGCTCCCAATCGTCCCGGATCATGCAGCGGCGCCAGACAATCTTCTCCAGGTTCTCGCGGTAAGCGCCGTCTTCCTTAATCGAGCCGCTCAGGTTCAGCGCCCGCAGGGCAAGGCTGAACTCATGTCCGGCTACCTCGTTCTCCTCCGGCAGGCCAGCCGCCGGGATCGGGTCCATCAGCGTCAAAAGGTCCGCCAGCTCGTCTCCTTGTACCGGACAACGAGTTACCAGCTTTGCCAGAGCACGCTGAAGGGTCTCGCGCAGAGCAGGTTTCGACTGCACGGAAACATTAGCAAATTGGTCATTCGCTATCTGCAATCGCGCGCTTTCGTCGATGGCTTCGTTCAAGTGCGGCAGGTTGTCATACACAGACTCTTGGATCGTTGCCAGCTCTGTCTCATCCTCGAAGCAGCTCAGGTTCACCTGCATCCCAGTCTGGGTCTCTCGTGCTGCCAGCGTGGACAATTTTGCCAGTGCAAGCTCCACCCGCTTGCTCCATAGATTGGTTTCATGCTGGGTCGCGAGCTCCGTCAGAATCTTCGCTGCGTTGTCGTAGTTGCGCTCACCCAGCACTTCGTTCATCCACGACAGCTTTCCGTAACCAGGCGTCTTGCGTAGGAATCGGGTCACGTCGTCCTTGTACTCCCGCATAATCAGCAGCATTGCCGGCTGTCCTGCCGTTATCTGTCGGGTAAAAAATGCATCTGCCCAGGGTTCGCCGTACCTGGTGAAATAGCTGTCAATCCTAGACCGCCATTGCTTCACAGCTTCTTCGCGCGGACCGGGTATTGCTCGATCCACTGCTTTCTGGGGATGTTTCTGGTCGATCTTATCATGAACCTCGACCATAAGCTCCACAAGTGCCGTCATGTCATGAAAATTCTCGGCCAATGTCACAGCCTCTTCTAAATGTCCGATAGCAGCCATCTTGTAAAGCTGGGGCTTCCTCCTTTCGCGATGCGCCTTCTCAAGCAATTTGCCATCATTCTGGACCTGACGATCTTCACTTACAGCGCATAATTGTCGTCGTTCCTTGTAGATTTGTGAAAACACTGCAAATTGACGCGAAAGGTTTTCTCAAGGGCCTTAGCCGGGCTATCCTCGGCGTCTGTTCTGC